CCCTAATTTATGGAAGCTAGTGTATTAAACTTTTATATTACCTATTTAGAAGTTAGGACCTATGAATTGAATAAATATGTTTGATTATTAGTTTATGTCTAGAATGTGTGTTTAAGATCATTTACTCTTAACGAATTTACGATTTTCTTGGACTTAGATAATTGCTTTTAAAAGCTCGGTTAATTTCATTCGAATGGGATATGGCTTTATTTGGAGATTTTAACCTAAAGACTTGCTCTGAAACCTATGGCGATTCTTTTCATTTAGAAGACAGTAAAAATTTCTTGAGTCCTTGCTAGATTAATTTCTATCACTAATTGTAATTCTAGAAAATTGATGCTTTGGTGTCTTATGAATGATTTAAAAACCACTTATACTTTGATTATTTTGTAAAGAATTGTAACTAGCGCCTAATAATATGAATTTCCTCTTGGAATAATTCAACTTTCAGGCATAAACTCATCCTATATGAGATGTATTCACCATTCTTCATGTAATATTTTGAAGGACTGATTGTTGAATTTTCTTATAATGATATGAGTATAACTTACGTTTCAATTGCATTTTAGGTAGCCTTGCTTCCATAAAGGTATTCTTATCCAGAGTGGACTGCAGTTTTTACGTCGCTTTGGTTTTATCATCACCCCCAGTGAGACTCCAACCATAATAGTGCATCGGGTAATCTCGACAATTTAACCACTTCACTACATTGCCACGAGTGCCCTTGGGTCACAGGGCAGATGTGAATTTTAAGGAAGGCCAGGCGTTTTCCTGCTCTAATCATACCATTTTGGAAAAATACATTTATTAACCCTTCATCACATTAAAAGAAATTGAGTGAATATATCTCATCTCGAAACCCTGCACATTAATTAAAGTTGAATCACCTGTTCTGGTCTGGAGTGACTCAATTTATTATTACTGATGCCATAGTGTCGTAAACGTATCACATAAAAAATGAGAGCCGTAGCCTATTGTAATAGCAATTAAAATTTTACCTTATCAACAATCCCTTTATAAATTCCATTTAGAAGTCTGGCTTGTCTTGTGATCCGTTTGCTTCCACGGCTATGCATTCAACGTCCTCGACCCACTTTCTAATCTTATCACTTTTTTGACTGCTCTACCCAATATACAACGATCAGTTCTCAAAATCTACTTTTTAAAATAAAATTCAACTAAACTCATTACGAATAGAAGAATGAAACCTTGTAAATTATTTTCTTAAGGTTTAGATCTGTTCTGCTGTCTGGGAATCTATAATTATTCCCTCTGCTCATTTCCTTGGTGTCCTACTTCAGTTTTAATCAACGAACTGGCCGTATGGAACGCGTCGTTGATCGAGATACATCTGATGCCAGCTACCACAGTGCTACATCCACCGCTAGTGGCACTAGCGCACGCAGCCAAGCTCTAAATGCATTACTTGCCACAGGCACAACTCCTTGCATCGGAATCTCTCCGGCCGCTGCGGCTGCTGTGCTTGCCGCTTCGATGTCCGGTTTGGCTTCCTCTACCACTGGGGCAACTGGAGCTGTCTCTAGTTCTAATAACCTGGCGAGTGTAGGTAGCGTAGCCGGCACAGTCAGTGGAAATGGCGGAGCTGGCGAGACCTGCACTACAGCTGGAAATGTTGGGTCTGCGGAGGCAGGATTCTTATTCTCTGAGCCTGGTTTCGGGCTTTCCCTAGGCTTGGCCGAGTTTGGTCTAGTCAACGAATATAATCCACTTTTTCCTAACGACTTTGAGACCTTATCTCGACTTAAATGGGAACGCAGAAAGGCAGAGGTGAGATATCTCTTTTCACTAATTTTATTGTTGGCTATATCCTCTAATTCGAATTAAATTTTTTCATTTACTCAGCATTAATGTATATAT